ACTGTTGGTCTGTCTTCTTCCTTTACGTCTTCTTTGGTTGCCGGCTCACTGGGTGCGGTTGTGGTCTGTCTCGGAGGTCTTGTCTTATCATCTGGAGAATCGAGGCGTCTTTTTTTCTGTTGTCTTCCTGAATGGTGGTCTTCTGTTGGAAAGATCTTAAAATCTTTTTGTAGGATTTTAAAGAAGGTTACAGCTTTATCTTCATTGGTTAACCAATGCTTTTGTTCTTTGTATGTTACCATTATTCCTTCTGGTTTCTCCCAGCGGAAACGGATTCGAAATTTTTTGAGTTCTTCTGTTAAGAAGTAATACTTCTTTCTTTTATTCAGCATAGATTATGGGAATTCCTTCATTATTATTACTCTGTTCTCTTTGTAATACAATGGGGCTGTGCTATTCTGTTTTAGGACCTCATCTCGTGTTCTTTTTTTTTTACGAAATGGACGATTGTGTCCCTTGGCACTTTGTTTATTTTTGAGAAATTTGTTGTTACTCTATAAATTCTGTCTAGTTCTTGTTCCAGTTCTGCTTGTTGTTTTCCGAGTAGGGGCATTACTAGGGTAATTACTATTTGACGAATATCTTCTTTCGGTTCTTCTAGTATGTTTCTGAACCTTAACTGGAATTCTAGATTTTTTAGTTCTATGTTTTCTTGTGACTCCTCTAGTTTGAGATTTTTCTCCTCTATTTTTTGTATTTTTTATCTATTTTTTGTGTGCTTCTTGTAGCATTGTTCTGTCCATTTTAATTTCTTTCACCTCATTATGGATTTGTTTTAATTCTTCTTTAAAGAATTTTTGCTGTTCTTCTTGGTTTTTTACTATCTAGTTGAAATCGTTTTGTAGATTGTCTTGTTTTTCAGAGAGTTTTTGTATTTCTTTTAGGACCTCCTTTAAGATGGTAGATTCTTCCGTACCCGAAGGTTTCCTATTTGTCCTCTTTTGTTCCTTAATATCTTTAATGTCTTTCACTTCTTTCATTTCTTTCTCATTTTTTGCTTTTGGCGTTGCCATCTTGATTTTTGTACCGTTTGCTCCTCCCTTTGCTTCCTTACTCAATGTGAGAGTTTCTTGTTGCTTTTATTCTTTTAATTATTATTGTTTGATTGTCATTATTATTAGTGTTCTTATTATTTTTCTTTATTATTAATTAATATAATAATTATTATTTTATTGTTTTACTTTGTTTTGTTTTATAATCCTTATATTGGTAACAGCATATGTATATGGCTTTGTCTTCCTGTGTCTTCTTTTAATCCCTTTGTTTTATGTGTGTATATGTAATTTATTTAATTATTATTTTAAAAGAAAAAAAAGGAAAGGGGCGGGAGAGAGAAAAAAAATTAAATTTATTTTTTATTATTTATTTTATTTTTATTATTTTATTATTATTTTATTCATTTATTTTTTATTTAATTATTTTTTAAATTTTTATTAATTATTGTTTAATTTTTTTAAAATTATTTGTGAATTTATTTAGTTAGTTATTGTTTTAATTGTTCTTGTTGATTATTGTTTTTGTTTTTATTCTATTATTATTATTTATTTGGTATTATTTATTTCTTTATTTATTTTTAGTTATGTATATATATATTTGTTTTTATATTTGTTTTTTATTATTATATTTATTATATTATTATTATTGTTGTCATTTCTTGCTATTATTTATTTATTGTTTATAATTTATTAATTGTTGTTGTTAGTTGATTCTGGTTTGGTTTCCTTATTTTTATTTTACTCCTCGCTCTTCTCTCTCTTTTTCATCCTTCTCCCTTTATTTTATTTGTTTTATTATTATTATTATTATTATTATTATTATTATTATTATTATTATTTGTTTATTCATTTATTTATTTATTTTCCCCTCTTTATATAATCAGCCTCTTATTGATCTTGAACTCTCTTTAGACGTCCGTACAACCAGTGAAGTTCAGCCTTCTTTTCTTTCTTTCCGGTCTTATTTATTTTCCTTTGCCGCTTTCCCTTTAATTTCTCCGATCTGGTAGCCCTCCTTTGTCTCCTTCGTTCTTCTTCCGCCCTTACTTCTCCTTTGGCACCTGCCCTTTTTGCGTCTCTGCGTCCTGTGTCTTCGCGTTTCCTTATTCTCGCGGCACTTCGCTCTCCCTGTTCTCGCGACACCTCGCGTCTTTTTTTTTCTTTGCTTGCGCGATTTGGTTTCCCGCGGGGGAGGGGAAGGAGAATGGGGCGGAAGGTGGCGGCGGTTCTGTAGCTCAGCGGGAGTCGATCGTAGTAAGTTGATTGAGCTAATTTCCTTCCTTGTTTTCAATTAAGTTATCAATTAGTCCTTAAGTAATTAATTATTTAATTGGCTAATCAGTGGTCATCTCCAGCTGTATAATCCCGTTCAGGTTACTTCCAAATAGTTCCGATTAATTCCGATTAATTTCCAATTACTCTCCTAGGCAGCCGTAGTTTGACCCTCCCTATCTCTCATTGCCTCCCAATAATTCTCTTCATTGATAAAGTGCAGCCCACTGTAGCAAAGTGCGTTGATTAAATTGATTGGATGAATATCAATTAATAAATTAATTAAATAAATAGTATAAATAGAAAAGAATAGCTTAGGTATTCGATACTCAATAAATACTGGATGCTTCTTAATTTGTTATAAATAATGTATATTGATTTCTTAGATGATCTTAATGGTTAATTAATTATAGTTGCAATTGATTATTCAATTCTTAATATTTTCCACCTATCAATTTGTATCAAGTTGTATCACTTTTTTATTGTAAAATTATAATATTTATGTTATTTTACAGTATCTTTTCTTCTTTTTTGTTGCAACTTAATGGTAGTTTGCTAAAAGTACACATATATAGAGAGATCTTCCCCGGCTCTAACAACTGTAGTGAAGGGTGTCTCTTTCCCTGGAGAGATAGATTTTTATTCTTGGGAACTTACTGTTAAAAAAGCATAAATTTTTAAATTTTTAACTCTAGAGAAAGTTTCAGAAAATACATAAAAGAGTAATGTCCAAAGAGCCTGGTACTTAGAAGTACATAATATCTAAAATGTTGCAGGAATCTACCACGGCTGGTAAAGAACCCTGTGGAAAATCAAGGAGAATCACTGCTAATCTACAAACCAGGAAGAGGCAAAACAGAGCCCATGACTACACAATGCCATTTCTGTCCTTGTATTGGAAAAATTAAATCTACCAGACTTGCTCTACCAAAATCACCCAACTTTTCTGTAGATTGATGAGCTAGATGAACCAATATTTTTATTCCATAAAGGTGGCCAGTTCCAAAAAAAAGTGGAGGTTGCTCATGAAGGTGCTGGGATATTTCCAATCCCAAAATAATGAATTGCATACCCTGTAAATTCGAACTACAGATGGGCATCCAGTCATTGACAATTGTGATGTTGAACAGTTTGAAACAAGAAATGAAGTCCACCAATCTTGATCTGGCAAAGTTACCCAAATTGTGGATCCCAGCCCCAAATGGAATTTTTTGCAATAGTAAACATTTCTGAATATCTACTAGTGGCTGTTTAAACATTTACATGAATCTGTTGTGCAGTGTGTATAGGGGAGAAGATGCTTCCGCAGTACTTCATAAAAAGGAAAATCAGCCTGTCTAGCAAGTCTTGCAAATATTGATTTGTTATCAGTAAATGTTTGACTTTTATACCTTTTTTAGATAGCTATATACCCAGGGTCATGTAAACATTTCTCAGGTAAGATGGAGTCACAAAAAGAAGCCCTGCTCTAAACTAATGAGCTAGATGAACTAATGTTTTGATTCCATAAAAGTCAATGTTCTAGGTAGGATAATAAGGGGGCACCAACTCTATGATGCAAGTCAAGTCTTCTAGTATCAACATCTCAATGGTAGAAGTTTCAAAAGGAAGTAATAATTATATTAATTTTGTGTTGGACACACTGAAATTCCTTTATCTGCCTGACACTGAACTTTGTCAAATTATGAATGCCAACTAAATTAATAAACGTAAAACTAAATCCAGTTGTTAGACTCAACTAAAGCAGGCTTGTTTTATTAAAGGAACTTAAGCGTTAACTTAGCAAATTCTTTCTGATTTGGTGGATTTGCTGTAGCTAAAGCTTATAACTGGATTCAAGGCATAGATCTTTAGAGAATAGTGGATAGCCCTGGCACCAGTAAGTGGGTCCCATGGATTGCTGAATTAATCATTAAGGTAAGTAATTTTTGAATCAAAGAACAAAACAAGCCTCCTCTTCAGCTTTCAAAGCTCCTGATGCAGCATAAATGGAAGCTAACTACTGAATAACATTTCAGGGATATTTACCTATCTATTTTCCCTCAGTTCAAGGTTCCAAGCCATCTCTAAAGCAAGAGATGCAACTTTAACCTTTAATCAAATTTCCTTACAGAAGTTATGGATATAATCATTTTGATTAAAAACTATTAGGCACATCCTGGTGGGAGCAATACATTGAACTGCAGTTAGAATAGGATCTCCCTCCTGGATGATTCCAAACAACAAAAGCTATTGATTGTGGAAGTACTTTCAGCTAATTAAGCCTTAAATGCTCCAGGATTTCAACATTAAGCAGATGGCACTATTAAAACTATCTCCTACATTCAGTGCTTCATAGATAAGACTTCCAGAGCAATCCTCTTGCTAATTTGGTTTATTACTGAGTATTTAAGTAGCTATGTACATTAATCTATCATCTTTCATGCACTAGTTTTAATGCAACATTGCTGACCCCTGAAGACCATCTCCAATAAGAGAGTTCCCTGTGCACACATCTCCCCTCGTGACTTCTGGCAGCAGTCTGGACAAGTTGTCAGTACCTTTGACATAAACAGCTGGAAATGACAGATCAATGGTTCAATATTCTCAACAGCATGTCACTGATGTGACAGCAAATGTTATTCTAATGAAGCTGTAATCATAGTCAAATTATGTGGTTCGATACACAGGAACAGGAAGGGGGGAGGGAGAGGAAGTGTCAGAGGTCAGGAACTAAAAGGTTATTTGGCTTACCTCAAGCACTTGCTGGAGACTGGGCTGTCCATCCACCATGGCTTGAATAATTCCAGTCAGCTGAAACAAAGGAAATGTGGGGGGGGGGGGGTCAGTAAAAACATTCAAATCATTGGAAGGAATCACATTTTTCCAAGTCTAAATACTCATTGAAACTAGATGAAAAACCAGGAACCAGGAACAGTATTGTAAATTTAGGTATAACTAAATTGGAAATATTTGAAAGAAAATCTATTAGAAACTAACTAGTCACTTCATTTGCTTAGAAAAAGAATTTTAGGTTGGATTAATGGTTGGTTTTAAGAATTGTATTATATATCAGTAGGCTGGGATTTCACTCACTTGCTTGAACCATTTGTTTATGTTAATTATTCCTCGACATTTTCCTCACTATAATCTGTTTAATATGAGCTACCTTCTTCTGATGCCAAACAGGGAGGAACCTTCTCTTTCATCTTAAGGGACTGAGGCAGATGGCATCTCCGCTCCCCTTCCAGATCTATGCTTCTGGGACTGCATCTATGTACATGTGATCTTTGTTCTGCTTCCTGAACTTAAGACAGAAGTTCAGATAGAAAAGACAGAAAGGTCTTTTCAGCTGCAGCATCAAAACTACAGAACAGCCTGTCCAGGGTAGGTCATTGGAACCATATTTGTCTACATTTAAAACAGGTTGTTGAATTTTAGGAAAAAAATATTCTGGTCCCACACCAGAAAGATAAGATTGTAGTTTAGCATAAGTCACCCTACAAATTCCTGTAGATTCCCCAGAATAACCGAGGATAATTTTCGGCAAGTCGGTTTTGCTTGTGTACACTCTAGTTTCTTCTCAATACAATGGGAAATGAAGGAGAACAATCCGTAACCCTGCTGTCCATCATAGAAGAGGTATTAAAATGTACAAATACATTTTTTGCCTTAGGAGTTAGGGTCCTACATTAATACTAACTCCAGATTACCTCATATGTTCCTTAGGAGAGAAAGATCTACACCTCAAGCCCTGCAGTTGATACTCCCGTCTAATAGAATAAGTAAAATCCTCCAATTTTAGTGTGCACCTTATTTCAGTGCCATTCCTGCTACATCTCTCATTTACATTTTACAGCCCAAGGTGACTTCAGGCACTCCCATACACTGGTGATTAACACAATAGAAAAGGGCCATAAACAGATAAATAAAATAAACCACTATGGAAAAGTGAGGTGCTGAGGGCATCAGCAATGCAGCTTTCCAGAGAGAGGAGGAACAAATATCAGAGCATTATGAGAAAAGAGCATAAAGCTATGTTTACAATTTTATAGCCGTTTTCAACTTTGGTTTGAAAAGAGTCTTTTGCATTTTAAAAGCTATTGTATTTTTTATTATAAATTCCAAAGAGAACAGAGATCATTGTCAGTACTCTTCTGATACTTACATGGATATTATTTCAAAATCACCCATGCACCTATTATTAGACCTAAAGCAAAATGGATCACAGTAACATAAAAATATGACTCAAACACAAGAAAGAAAAAGAAAAATGTTTGTTAGGGGCACTTAACAAATGACAAAAACTACAAAGGGTGGTTTACCCCCAGCCTCTGTTCTGAAGCACAATACCCTGCGTATGAAACACATCAGGAAGATACCTATTTATGAAATCTCCACATACACTTCTTAATATTTGCTTGTCAAAATGTGGCAATTTTAACACATTCTGTACCTACCTCCAAAGGTAGAGAGGCCCAGTCCTACTCTTTCCTCAAAAGGCAATACCTAGGTAACCGCAATTAAATACCTGATAATTAAGTGCCGACAACACTGTATTTGTATTTCTCCTTTGCTATGCACCCATTTTCTTCACTTAAGTTATGCAATGGTCTTGCTTATCTGAACTGACTCCTTTCAGTTTAACAAATTTAGGCATAAAAATATTGTAAAGCTATTGACAGAAATTACTTCATGGGAGTAAACCAATCAAGCCCTTATGCTACAGAAAGAGCAGTGCTTAGTCTCAATTTGCTTTTTATGCATCTCAAAGGAACTCCCAAGAAATCCATGTATTAAAAATTTGTATTGCCAGAATTCTCTGAGTTGAAGATCTCTTAGGAGAAAGCAGGAGAGTAGAGTTTATTTGGACTGCTACAAGGGTATATAACCACCAATAATTGAAATTTGTAATTCACTATGTCAAAAATATCATTTCAGAGAAAAATAAAGTATTCTGGTGCCTGGGGCAAAAAAAAAAATGTGTCTTAATCACATACACACTCATCTCTGCTGTAAGAATAGGTGCTATACTAGAAAAGATGGACAATTCAAGAAGGACATTGACAGGATGGAACGTGTCCTGAGAAAGGTGACCAAAATGGTCAAAGAACTGGAAACCATGAACCTCTTGTGAAGAACAACTTATGGAGCCCGATTGAGTTAGCCTGGAGAAGAGATGGTTAAGAGGAGTCATAATAGCCATGGTTGAAGATGGGATCAGCTTGTGTTCTGCTGCTCCAGAGACATATAGCAATACATTAATACTGTCAGCCTTCCGCTATCATGGGTTTCACTTTTGGAAGCAATTGGGCAGGCAGAGAAAGGAAAGGAGAAACCTGCTGCCCCTTTCTTTCTCTACATCCCAAATTGCTCGGTGTATTTCTCATGTCTGGAGGGAAGGGAGGTATCAAGCAACCTGGCAGGCAGAGAAAGTAAAGTCCCTAGTTCCTCCCTATCTTTTTTAACCTGCCAACTGCTTGTTGCCTTCCTCTAGTATTTATGCTATGTGTTGTTTTTTTTCTTATATCAACACCTTCAAGTGAGACATTTTGTCTAAACTTCTGGTTCTTATCTCTACTTGAAAATCATTCAAAATATAAGATTTCCAAGACAAAAAGATTCACAAGTGGTTTTCATTGACTTCAGTACTAATAATCATTAGCTATGATACTACTACCAATGTCTTTGAGAGATCCAGTGACACCCTCCACTACTGTTGCTGCCCAGTAGCTGTTTAACACATTTATTCTGGTTCCTCAACAAAAACCTGTATGGGAGACCCTAACAGCAGCACTGCTACTGTGAGCTTAGCGCCTTGTCTAAAAGGAGCATGAAATCCCACCACCGCAGAAAGGTTAGTGCCATGGTGGAACAGAGGTAGTATTCAAAGGTAATACTTCAAAGCTGGAAAGAACTCATGAGTTCCTAGAGAAAAACAAAGGACAGATAAAAGACTGATTTTTATTCAAGAAACACAAAACAAAAAGACATTTTAAGTATAAAAACCACCATGACTGCACAAGCTACATATTACATGCCCCAAATAGACTAAATAACTATCTAAGTAACTATAAAAAATCTACAAGTTTCCATGACCAATCAGATATTTGAATTTGGGGCTCTCTGCTCAAAGTCCAATACTCTAAACATTACTCTGTAGTGGTTGTCTCATATCAGTTGTACGTGTAATTTAAAAAAAATAAAAATTGGGATATATTGGAAGAAAAATGCAACAATGTACTGAATTAGTACAATTAGCTTGTAAATTACAGTGATCTACATAATTAGAACAATTTCCATAATAGACAAATTAGCTGTCCAAATTTGAGGAAATGGGATATGTCAGTCCTAACCTTAGTGCTCTTTCTATTTTCAAGTGTGCAGTTTATTAGTGACAATAACTCCACAACACAAAATGATTACGTATGCCCTGGCTGTTTTTTAAATTATCAAAAGTGACTCTGTTTTATTTTATTTACTGTATTATTGCTATGAATTATTATCTACCTAATCTGCCATATTTGTTAATCCAATTTCCTCATTTGTATAGATTTTTTAATGGAAGCATATTGAGGGGAAAGTAATTACTCTGCAAAGTGTGGTTGTTTTTTTTWWWAAATTAATTTCTTCATACAGATAACAAAACAATACAATACGAACCTTAGCCATCTAAAAGATAACATAAAAACTGTTTACAATTTTTATGGCTAGGATACAGGTTCCAATTGTGCTTCCCTTTACCGTATATCTTGATTAATAGCCCCTTTAAACTCCCCGTCCTACCCACCCACCCATACTACCCTCTTCCCACCTCCCTCCCACCCCCATCTGGGTTACTTGAATCAATACATTGATTTAATTGTCTGGAAGGCCTGATTTAAAGTTCTGTACCTATCTTTTCCTTRCYTTTTGTTGATTAAACAAGACKATTTCRTAAARKAATCTTGTRTTGACTGAATATTCAAATATTTATTTTTCTTTTCATAGATGAAATCATTAATTYAATATTCAGAGAGATACGACCYCCAGGTTTTCAGGTCCCACCTTGTTTTATCTTTCCAACCTCTGGCGATTGTGGCATGTATAGCGGCTATCATAAATTTTAATATATCTGACCATTCGTTGTTCCCCTCCTTTACCTCTATGTTGAGGGACAAAAATCGAGCTTTATTCCAATGTAGTTTTTGCTCTATTATTTCCTCTATTACTTCTCTAACAGTATTGTAGTATTTTTGGATTTCAGAGCAGTCTCACCACATGTGTGAAAAAGTACCAATCTCCCCGCATTTATGCCAGCATTTGTTAGAAATGTTTTTCATAATGTGAGCCAATTGAGAGGGGGTCCTATACAATTTTGAAATTATTTTCTTTTGTGTTTCTTTTATTCTTAGATGTTTAATTTTTGGGGTTTTAACGATCCAGGAGTTACTAAGTTTTCATTGAAGTTTATATCCTGTTTCCAGGCCTTTACTAAAGTATGTTTTGTATTATAGGATAAGGCTATTAGTTCCTTATATATTTCCCCTATAATGCCTCTCCCTTTTTCTATTTTCCAGCCAATTATTCTATCCAATGGGGCATCTAATGTTTCTTTCTTTTTTTATTTCTTGTACTCTTTGCGACAAGCCTAACCAAGCTAACCAATACTTTAAGCCACATTTGTCTTTTATCTTATCCCATTTTTAATATCTCCATTGGATTCCAAGAGGTCTCCTACCTTCTTTACTCCATTCTCTTTCAGGGACCTGATTAAATTCCTAAATGTATTATCTTTATTTTCCAGGTTTTCTAGCGGAAAGGGATCTATTTTA